TGTTGCCTGGGTTACCGAACATCCAGTCGAAGAAAGATAGGGCTGGTTTCCCAGCGTTCCGTTCTCCACAGGCGTAAGCTCGATATTTCCGAGAACAAACCTGCGGAGGTACTCGAGGTAGTACGCGTACAGCCCATGGCCGTGCGCCTCGAGCTCATCCAAATTGTCCATACTGCTAGCCCAGTGAAAAATATCTGTTCCACAGCCTCGAAATCTTGGAGGCTCAGATATTCAATAGACGGTTCACTTGAGCCTAAATGGACTTCGGTCGATCTACCCTTTCCATTTCCCTTCGCTGGACAATCCTTTACAAGATGATCGGTACTATCACACTCATGGCACTTTAGGATCTGGCCGTCTCTACCTCGCGGGTTCCCCCGCCTACCTTTACCTTTGCCTGAGGTCTCCCTACGGCCTTTTCCACGGCCTTTTCCCCCGAAAAATATCTCATCATACTGATCATCTGAAAGCCTCTGGAGGAAAGCCGAGATGCCTCGTCCGTTCAACCTTCGGCGACCCCGTTTGCCTTTACCTTTCCCTTTGAAGCTCCTCCGTATCCTCCTCCTAACACGACGCACTGGTTTTCGTGTAAACCTCCTCCACCTACGCTTTGCTTGTTGTAATAACCAGAACAGGTGTTCGGCACGCTGATTGCCCCCTTCCATTTGCATGATATCTGACCAATCTAGGGGTTCGATACCATCTGATGATATGGTATCGGTGTCGGTGCCGGAGTCGAAGTCGTCGTTACCTAGGTAGGTGGATACACCGTCGTTTAGGGGATTCGCTTCACCCCATAGGGAACGGTGTGGTTGAGGTTCTCTAGGAGGAGGGCTGGTTGCCCAGCTTGGTTGTGATCGATCCCCTGTTAGTAGGGCAGTAGATTCTCCAGGATCGTCGGCCCATATGTTTGAGGGCCCGTTGCCAGGCTGAGCTTCAGTGGTTAAGGTAGTATAGCAATTTCCACTGCCAGTTCCCGTTCCCCTTCCAAACACTGATCCTATGTTGCCAGGAGACCGTTCTGACAAATGGCCTATCGAACGCATCCTCTCACACAATTCGTCATGCTGCTGTTGTGTTCGGGGCATTTGATGGTTGAGTGGCTGTAAGAGTTGCATGGCTCGCTGGTTGCCAACGCCTAGGGCGCGGAACAGGATAGTAGTGAGCAGTTGGAAGTTGGGAAGGTCAAAACCCACCGACTGTGCCTCAAGACGGGCCATCTCGAACCGAGTAAGGGTTACGTCGATTCGTTCTCCGTGAGGCACATGAAAGTCGATGAGCTGAGTGCCTGAAGTGAGCTGGCGCTCATCTCCCAGGCGTTCGAACTTCATGCTTCAGAGGAACAGAATGAAGGTTACTGGGTCGGTGTGGACACCATCGATGTCCGCACCATAGTTTATAATGTCAGGTGGTACCCCCATGGCGAGTGTCCTCGCTAGGCCACCCAGGCCGCGTTGCATGGCGGCTGCTTGGGCTTGTGGCGCCATGCGTCCACTTGTGACGTTAAGCCACGCGTTGACCTCATAAACGTTGCCTTGGGGGCCCCAGGATGGGCCATGTGTTTGCCCATCTGTGCTGTTGTCTCCTCGGCGCATGCGTCCGATTGCTGCCCCCAGCGCAAGCCATATGATGGTGAAGATAACCAACCCAAGGCTGTGAAGATATGGGTGGTTATCAGGCGCGTTGCCGCGCTGGGGTAGGGTTTGCAACGCCTTGTCAAGTCTACGAGGCGTTTTTTTTTGCGGGTCCCCCCGCCTCTGCTTCAAGTACTGCGCTTTTGGCTCGTTGCCGAGCGGTTGGTAGTAGCGTAGTGATGAAGCGTATATGGTACCAATGCTCTGGTCTAGACGTCGCACCTCTCGTGTTGCTTCTTGCTCTTGAATTGATCCTCGTAAATGTAGTTGGAATGGTGGCGCAGGGTGGTAGCTGGTCACGAAAATCGCGCCGGAAAGCGTGAGGACAAGAAGAGCAAGAGCTGACCACACGAAAGTGCGGCCAGCTCCGCTACCAAGTCTGAAATGACTCTGGCATATCATATAGCATCCAAGTCCATGTCGAAGGAATACGATATGGGGAGTGGATGGATAGGATAAGATAAGATCGATGTAGTGATCTTTCCAGCACATAGCGAACACTAAGGTAAGTGTCCGGGCAAATAGGGCGCGCGTGCCTTGAGCCAAAGGCAACGGCGCGCAGGCTATACTCCCGATCCTCTAAAACATTTTCCAAAGAGCTACCCTTAAAGTGGGAGGCCGTTCGCGGAGGGGCCGGGGGCGGGCATCGGAAACCAGAAACCGGAAAAGCGCAACTGGGGCCTCCCAGGACAGAAGCCGGAAGCGGAAATCGGAAAAAGGAAAGCGAGAAACAAAAAAAAAAAAAAAAAAAACGCGGGAACTCCCTGCGTAAAGACCGGAACCGGAAACCGGAAACTGGAAACCGGAAAGCAGGAACCGGAAACCGAGAGCTGGAGACCCGAAACCGGGAACCGGACACCCGAGACCAGAGACCTGAAACCGGGAACCGGAAAGCTGAAGGCGGAAAGCGGAAACTAACCAGAAAACGAGCAGCGGAAACCGGGAAGCAGACGGAAACCAGAAAGCGGAAACCGGAAGTTGGAGACCAGAAGCCCGACGATGGAAACCAAAAGTCGAGAGCAGAAAAAGGACCCATGGAGCCCGACCCCCCCCTGCCTCAAAATTCGGAGCATGCGCAGCGAACCCGATGCGGCCTCCCCCCACCATTCCTTTCAAAAAACAATACACAGTGCACTTGGCGGCGGCGGCGGCTGCGGCGGCCGCGGCGGGGGCAGCGGCTGCGGCGGCTGCGGCGGTTGCGGCGGCGGTGACGGCGGCGGCGGTGGGGGCGGCGGGGGCGGCGGCGGCGGCGGCGGCGGCGGCGGCGGCGCGGCGGCGGCGGCGGCGGCCGTGGCGGCGGCTGCGGCGGCAGCGGCGGCGGCGTATTCGGCTGCGGCGACGGCGGCGGGGCGGCGGCGGCGGCGGCAGCGGCGGGAGGTGGGGCAGCCAGGGCGGATGACGGAGGCGGCGGGCGGCGCGCGGCGGCGGCGGCGAGCAGCGGCGGGCGGCGCGGCGGCGGCGGCGGCGGCGGACGGCGGAGGCGGGCGGCGCGGCGGCGGCGGCGGCGGGCAGCGGCGACAGCGGCGGCGGCGGCGCGGCAGCGGCGGCGGCGGGCGGCGGGGGCGGCGGCGAAGGCGGCGACGGCGGCGGCGGCGGCGGATTCGCCCCCAGTAGCTGCCCATCCAAAGACGACTGATGAAAATGCTACGGATCGGGCCAGGCACGGGTGCTACGTATGTGTTGGGAAAGCGGGTGGGAGTGAGCGAGACGGCCTGCGGGCGGGGAGGGAGTCTTGACCCCTGCCCCTGCCCCCTCACTTGGACCTGGACGGGCGGCGCCGCGACCCATTGGAGCGTCCAAAACGGTTTCGGACAGGCAGCCAAAATCAATTTGGGTTTGGGCCCCATGTTGGCTTCTTGGGGGGCGCTAAGTCGAGCTCCTCTCATCGTGGCGTCCAGGATGGCCCGAAAAGCGCCCCGAAAGCTCACAAGAGCGCCCCAAGAGGACCCCAAGAGGCGCCCAGACGGACCCACGAGACCCACAAAAGGCCCCCAAAAGGCATCAAGAGGATCCCCGAAGCACCCAAGATGCCCCCGAGTCGCCCCAAGAGGCCAGGCACCCAAGACGCCCAAGAGCCGCCAACAAACCCCCAAAACGTCCCAACAGGCGACCAAGAAGCGCCCAAGCTATATCCCAGAAGGCTCCGAACAAAAAAGCATCCAAGTAGCCTTCGGCCCTTTTGCTCGCCCTCGTTATCATGCTCCCCATTCCTTCTACTCATTATATTCCTCCTCATCATCAACATCCTCGTCATCATCATCGTCAGCATCAGCATCAGCATCATCATCATCAGCCTCATAATCAGCAGCATCAGCATCAGCATCATCAGCATGACCACCATCACCCCCATCCTCATCACATCATCATATTATCACCAGCATTATCAGCACCAGCAGCATCAGCATCAGCACCGGCAACAGCATCATCAGTATGAGCAGCATCATCACCATCATCAGCATCATCATCAGCAGCATCATCAGCATCATCATCAACAGCACCCTCATCATCATCATCATCATCATCATCATCATCATCATCATCATCATCATCATCATCATCATCAGCATCATCATCATCATCATCCTCATCATCATCATCATCATCATCATCAGCATCATCATCATCATCATCAGCACCATCATCATCATACTCATACTTCGTATCCCCACTCTCTCATCAATAGATCCAGCCCCCTTTTTCTCCTCCTCCCTCCTTCGCACGGTTCGGCCGTCCACCTCTTTGCCCTCGCACTTCCCTGATCACCTCAACTCGCCTGGGCATCGTTTCTGGATGCGTTGGTGCGGATCTGTTGTTCGCGAGCGCAAACGGAAGGGCCGCGCGCCGTCCAAAGCTACAGCTAACAAGCACGAGCCGAAATTGCACACACTGGTGGGTATATGTTTTTCGTCGCGGCTACAAGCGAAGGCGCCCGCACCGGGTCGAGCTGGCTCGGGCTACGAGCGAACCTAATTGCCGGCGCGCGCGGAAAGGAAAGCAGGACCTACCGCTGGGGGAGGTAGTTGCGCTGGGGCCATGCTGCAAACGCCGAGGCTGGGAACCAGCGCCGAGGGTGGGAACTGCAAGCTGCTGGGGCTGCCAGGAAGCTGCAAACGTGCGGGTACCATGGGAGCTGAATCACCAGGTACGTACTAGTGGAGATACGCAAAGCGTCTAGAATTTGTCACAACGTGGACCCCTACAGGTCTCAACCCTTTCACCAGACCAGGTGTTTCATCCCAGTTCATTTTTCCACGGTCCTGAGGCCCGGCGAGGGCTCTCAACGGCCGAACATTGCAAACCATTTTCCGTCGTGATTTTCCACCATGCGAGGGGGTCTGGAATCGACATGGCACATGTCCCCCTCGCCGTCATTGAAGTCGCAGCTGAAGAAGCACGCCACCATCGGGTGCCCGCGGCTGTCCGCAAACTGCCTCGGCCACAGGCTCCGCTCACCGTCGTGTCCCGAGATCGCCTCGAGGACGTTCTGCAGGGAGGCGCTCGCCTTCGCACCCGTTGATGAGGGAGGGAAAGAAAAGGAGGACCATGACCATAGAGGAAAGCGGAAACGACGGTGTCGATCTACGTCACCGTCCACCTTGGTCGTCGTCGATTCGTAAATCATCCTCGCGAATCGGCGACGGTCGGCCTTGACCATGACCGCAATCGGCGTCGACTAAATCCCGCGACATCCTGGTAATGGCCATCGTGCTTTTTCATTCGAAATGAGAAGCTAGGAGGAGAAACATCTCTGAGAAGCAATTCAGAAACCCCTAGAATTACCAATAACTAGAATCAAGATATACGATATACAGTTGCGGAGGGGACTAGCGAAAGTGTATCCGCCACCGTGCCGCTGGCACGAAGTGGAGTGCCCCAAAGCACATGCAGCACTGATAGAGCTATGCTGCTGCTGCAGCCAGAATTGTACGTAAATCTTTCAGGGCCTGGACGGTCGTTTCCTGGGCAGGCCCGCGCTGACCATGGTCTGTCGGAATCGCTCGCGTCGGCCTGCCACGCCCACGGGGGCCGCAAAACAAGCCCAAATGGCTCCAAGAGGCCCCGACAAAAAATTGTCAAAGAGGGCCCAAAGCCGCACCAGTCCTGAGGATTTTGAAGGCTTTTGGTGTTCTCGCCTGTTTAGCTTTCCGACGCGTCAAGACGGCCCAAGAGGCCCCCAAGAGAACTCCAAGACGGCCCAAGAGGCCTCCAGGAGGGCACCAAGACAGCCTAAGAGCGCCCCAAGACGGCCCAAGAGGCGCCCAAGACAGCCCAGGAGGACCCCAGGACGGCAAGGGGCCCAAGAGAGGGAACATGAATCGAAAATCCAGGCCTTCTGCCCCAAGAGGCCCCCGGGAGGCCCCAAGAGGCGCCCAAGACGCCCAAAGGAACCCCCAAGAGCCTCCAAGAGGCCCCAAGAGGCCCCCAAGAGGCCCAAAAGAGACCCCATGAGGCCCCAAAACGGCCCCCAAGAGGCTTCAAAACTGCCTCCAAGAGGCCCCCAAGAGCCCCCCCAAGAGATCCCGGCGAACATCCAATAGGCTTTATAGCCACAATCCAGGCACGGGGATGGACCGAAGGCCATTAGATGATCAGCACAGAAAACGCAAATCACCTGGGCTGGCACAGAAACGGAAAGAGCGCTTTAGAAACAGAAACCGAAATTACTCACACCACCGTTCGTACTGGGAGCCTTGGCGTTGAGAGCTTGTTGCGTCACCCCTCGCTCTTGGGAGCCTTGGTGTTCAGAGATTGTTGCGTTGCCGCCCGTTCCTGAGCCTTGGCTGGGCCTTGGTGTCAGGAACTTGTTACGTCACCGCTCTTTGCTGGGAGCCTTGGTCTTATCAGTTTGCTTAGGTCACCGTTCGCTCTTGGGAGCCGTGGTGTGAAGAATTTTTTGCGTTACCGATCGCTCTGTATTTGGCGTCTCTGGGCCTTCTTGGGAGTCCCATTGGAACCCTTTTGGAGCCCTTTTGAAGGCCTCTTGGGGGCCTCTTGGACGCCTCTTGGGGCTTCTTGGTGGGTTATTGGGGCCTCTTGGGAGTTTCTTGTAGCGAAATGCTAAACTTTTCGGATCGTGGTCCCCCTCTTGGGGCAGCTTTGGGGCCCTCTTGGGCCGTCTTGGGCGCCTCTTGGGCCGTCTTGGTGCCCTCTTGGGCCGTTTTGGCGGCCTCTTGGGAGCCTCTTGGGAGCCTCTTGGGAGCCTCTTGGGGGCCTCTTGGACCGTCTTCAACGCAAAGCCGCGTATGCTAAGAATGTATGTTTTCTTATACGAAATCAATGATTTTGGCCTCCTGGTGGCCTCTTGGGACGCCTCTTGGGGGCGTCTTGGGGTTTCTTGGGGTGCTCTTGGGGCCTCCTGGGAGCGTCTTGGGGCGACAGGCTAGACTTTTCGGTTCGTGCTCCCCCTCTTGGGGCCGTCGTGGGCCCTCTTGGGCCGTCTTGGGCGCCTCTTGCGCCGTCTTGGGGCCCTCTTGGGCCGTGCGGGGGGCCTCTTGGGAGCCTCTTGGGCCGTCTTGGAGCGGTCTTGGGGGCCTCTTGGGCCGTCTTCAACCCGTGAAAGCCGAAAAACCGTATATGCTACAAATGTATGTTTTCCTACGGGAAATCAATGGGTTTGGCCTCCTGGGGCCTCTTGGGGGGCCTCTCGGGGGCCTCTTAGGAGCATCTTGGGGCCTCCTGGGAGTTCTCGAGGCGAAAGGCTACACTTTTCGGTTCGTGGCCCCCCTCTTGGGGCAGTTTTGGGGTCCTCTTGGGCCGTCTTGGGCGCCTTTTGGGCCGTTTTGGGACCCTTTCGGGCCGTTTTGGGGGCCTCTTGGGAGCCTCTTGGGCCGTCCCGGGGCGGTTTGGGGGGCCTCTTGGGCCGACGTCGGCGCAGTGGAGGCCGAATAATCCCGTATGCTCAAATGTACGTTTTCCTATGGGGAATCAATGATTTTGGCCTCTTGGGGCCCTCTTGGGACGCCCCTTGGCGCCTCTTGGAAGCCTCTTGGGCCGTCTTGGGCTGTCTTGGGCTCTCTTGGAGCGTTCTTGGATCGTCTACGAACGCTCGTTAGAACATAAGGTTTCCCTGCCTGGCGTAGCCCCGCCTTCTCCCCCTGCCCCGCCTCTGCCTCCTCCTCCTCTCCGCAGACCTTTACGATCAAAGCTCCTAGGGAGCCGCGCTGTATCTTTTTTGGAGGTGGGCGGGCGAGGCCATAGCACGCGGCCCAGCAGGAGGGGCCGGCAGTCCGAGGAGCGCCGGGTAGCGGCTGGGCCAGGCCCCCCCTCCAGCGCGGGCGGGGGCTCCCGAGGGGAGCCCCGCGGCCCGCTGCGGACGTGGAGCCGCCCACGGCGAGCGAGCGGGCAGGATGCGGCCCGTCCGCGGGCTTGAGTGCACCCTGGCTTTGGCCATGGGGGCGCTGGCTACGTGGCTCGACGTGTCATTCGGCGTCAACTGGCATGCGACGGCCCACGCGTCCGCCATCGCGACAGGCCCAGAGGAGGGAGGCCACGAGCGGGCGGGACCTGGTGAGGAAGATGAGGAGGTGCAGCGTGACCAGCCCCACAGTCAGGGCGAGGCCAGCTGCCAGGATGCGGGCGGAGACGAGCTGCCAGCAGTCGGGGCGCCCGAGGGGCCACTCCGTCCAGCGGCGCTCCCCGCTCCCGCCGAGTCCCTGGTCACGGACCCGCCACCAGCCATGGCCGGCCCGGGCAGGCGCTCAGCCCACAGTGGTCCACGCTCGGCGGAGCGGCGCTACAACGGCTACTACTACCACTACTACTACGACGACGCCCCCGCCGAGAAGGCTCCACCTCGCGCGCCCATGCGCCTCGAGGAGTCCGCGACGGGCGTGGCAGAGAAGGAGGACACCGCGCGGCGAGGTGATGCAGCGCGGCCAGAGGTTGAGGCACCCAGCGAGGCACCCACGTCTAGGCGCAGGAAGCTGCTGATGGCGCAACGGCAGGAGGAGGCCAGGGAGACGCCGTCGTCCGACGCAGGCCCCCTGCCTCCGCCGCCAGAGGAGCAGCGAGGAGCTAGCAACGTGACGGACGAGGGCGACAAGACATCCCGCGCCCCCAGCGTGACCCCAGACGCGGCGCTAAGTGGAGGGTTGTCTTCGATGGAGCGGATCAACTCGCGGGTGCAGGCGGTGCTCAAATGGCTGGGGGAGAGAGCGGGGTACACCTTGGGCGCACTACTCCACCAACTCATTGCCTTCATCATGGGGCTGGTCGACCCCATGGGCCGTTACTTGCTCGGCTCCTACTGGGCGAAGTTGCAGCGGGCAGCCATGGGACCAGCAGCTCTCGAAGTCGCGACGGTCCTCGGCTCGATTGTGAGCTTCCTCCTCTGGTTCCTGAATACAGCATGGAACTACGCGTCGCTTCTGATGGCGACGCCCCGAGGTTTCGCGCAGGGCAGCAAGACAGGGCACGACGTGAAGTTAGCGCTCGACGGCAACTCGGCAGGGGTTCTCTGCTGGCACGGCCCCTCGGAGGCGATGGCGGCCGATGAGGATCACGTCAAGAACGAGGTTCGGGCGAGAGGGGGTGGAGCCGACAAGATGATGCCCAACGACCTAATCATCCAGTCGGGAGGCTCTGTCGCCAGGCTCGAGAAGGGGCCGCTGAAGGGCGGCCGCGTCACGCGCCACGGCTACGTGTACAAATTCAATGAAGTAAAGGGCAGCCCCCATCGCCACCTGAAGGGCCGACCTGGAAAAAAAACGACAACGAGGGGGTTGGCTTGGTGTATCTGTGTGCTACCTCGCCTTGCACCCTCCCCGCTGGCGACAAGCCCATGGCCCACGTCTGCCCCTCTTGCGTGGTGGCTCACAGCTCCCCGATCAACGTGGCGGACTTGGCCAAGCTTTCCCCAGCAGGACGAGCTAGGACTGGCAGCTGGTTATGCTGCTCATGGGCATGCCGCGGAGTGGGCAAGGCGGGCTGGAGGCTGTTCCGGCGCTGCGCCAGGGGGAGGTTGGGACACCCCAAGCCGGGACAGCCGCCCAACAAAGCCGAGGAGATGGACCCCAACTCAGAGACCGAGTCAGAGCCCCGCGCGGACGTCTGCCAGGCCGATCAGGCGGCGTACGTCGTCACCAAGGACGGCACCCAGGTCTTGAGCGCCACGTGCTGCAGGGACACGGCCAGACAGGATCCAGTCTTCATGCCGGTCGAGGACACGGCCGTATCCGACGCGCGCGAGATGCAGGAGGAGGGAGACACCAGGGTTTTCCGGGCCTGTGCTCACCACGCGGGCAACTACGAGAGCCAGGCGGCGGTGCGGAGGTGCGCACGTTCGCAGCGCCATCGCGCTCACGTGGTCGAGAAGGATGGCTTCTCCCTCTGCGCGGCCCACGCAGCCGACCGGACGGCGGGCTGGCGCAGCCGCTCAGCCACGCCTCACCCGGAGGATGAGGCTCGGGATCGGCGGTCAAGCAGCAGGAGGCAGGAGAGGAGTGACGAGGACCGCGCGGCTCGCCGTCTCCCATGAGCTTCAGGCCGCAAAACCAGCCCCGC